TGTTCCGGCGTCCATGGACCATGCGTCAGGGGCGGAAAAATGGCCACGGACCATGTGTCGGGCGGAAAAATGGCCGCGGACCACGTGTTGGGCGGAAAATGGCCACGGACCACGCGGCAGGGTGGAAAAACAGCCGCGGACCACGTGGAATGGGCAGAAAAATGGCCACGGACAACGTGGCACGGGCGGAAAAATGGCCGTGGAACGGGCGGAAAAATGGCCGCGGACCACGTGGAACGGGCGGAAAATGGCCGCGGATCCGGTTCGTAAGTCGAGGCTAGTTTGCATGTCGAGGTAAATTTTTCGGGCCGGGGCCGGTGGTATCTCGAAAAATTCGTAAGTAGGGGCATTCGTAACTAGAGGTACCACTATATTATTTTTGAAAGCATTCTTACTTTACAGCATTTTTTCACACCTGCCTAAAACTTTTGCACAGTACTACATATTAAGGGAAGCTGGATTGGAAGAAGCTGAGTGTGGTTTTAAAATTGGAAAGTTGGACTTTGAAGAAACAGGATAGGAAGAGTATTGATGACTTTGGACAGCCAAGAAAACAAACCAATGGATCATCAAAGAAATCAACCCAGACTTCTCACTCAGGGCACAAATGACCAAGGTCAAATTATGCTACTTTAGACACGTGTGAAGATCCAGCTGTCTGGAAAAGGCTAATGCTGGGAAAGGTGGAAGGAAAGAGAAAAGGAGGATGATCAGCAACAAGGTGGAGGGACTCAATTACAGTGGTGATGGGTACACCATTGGAAAACTTGAAAGACCAGGCTAGGAATAGATCGTCTTGGAAAAAGTTGTGTAGTTGCTAAGAATAGAAAGCGACTTAGGCCAGAGATTGGTAGGGAAAATTCAAGTGTATTCATGTATACGGTACTAGGATAGGATGAAGGAACTCTGTTTTATCATTAGCTCTAATCCTGCCGTGGGGACACTTGCAGAAAGAGGTGCTCCATCACTTTGGCTTGGACTTGCAAGATGCCACAGTGATGAATAGTGTAATTCTTATATGAGGGGAAGGTTTTAATGGGAAAAAACCTGGAATGGATATCTTGAAAGCCTGTCAAGACAATTATTCAGCTCTATATACACTTAGCATATTTAAGGTAGAGTTACTCTGAGCTCTTTCTCATGTTCCCCGCTCCCTTGGACTCAGGAATCTTTTCTGTAATGGCCCTGCTTCCTCCTGAAACTGTCATACTGCATCCTCCACTTTCCCAAGCTCTATTAAACATCCTGTCACAGGTAAGCCAAAAGAAGAAGGAAACATTGAAGATGAATTCCATTCCTTAAACATCAGTATAACTGCAATTTCTGGCAAAAATCTTTGGATATTTTATATGGACTGACATTAAGCCCACTTTTTCTTTTATTGCTGTTGTGTATTACTACAGGTTTAGAATATTTTGTACAGGTTTAGAATATTTTGTACAAAGAAAGGGTGTTTAATCATGTTAGTCTCTTGCAGCAAAAACAATTAGGAGTCTTGTATATAAAGACTAGCTAATTTGTTGAATAGGAATTTGTGAAGTAATTTAACTATCTTGTTTGAATTCAGCTAATTCAAAAGTGATTTGGTGCTCTAAAGGAAGATACAGATCCCAGTACACTTGCCTTCGTGCAGGGCTAGCCAGTCTAGGGAACCTAGAGACCTATTCATTTTGCACCATTGACGTGCATATTGCTTTACAAAGTACAGGATGTGGGCAGTTGCTGTATATTAAAAAAAATCCCCTTTCATGTCTTGGTTTTTCTCAAGCTATTAGCATAACAGTTTATTGGAGTTTTGAAGTATACTGTCAGACTTCCCTGAGGTCATATAAAATTCTGTTTTTATCTTCATATTACTCCCTGTGGCAAAAAGTTTCTTTTGCTATTTTTGCTGAAACATAATTTGATTACAGTGTTACAAGAGATAAAGTAATGGGAGAAATAGATGAAAGGAATTTGAACCCAAAGAAAAGTGTGGATGTGCAGAGGAAGGTGAAAACAAGAAAGCCACTAGACCAGGGCTGGGTACCAACTAGCAGTGATAAGAATTGCTCACAAAGAAACAGTAACTGAGACCAAAGCAGGTCCAGAATGACAGCTACCAAAGATAAGAACTGTTATTCTGCAGTTCACAAAACAATCAACAAAAGGCTGAAGTGATGTGGAAAAGACTGCGTGATAGACATTGCTGGCCAAGGATGAAAAGGAAAGCTAAAAGGAACCTCGTTTTGAGAGATTTCACCACTTGTGCATACCTTATTACCATGGATTTTGGTGCTTTGTCTCTCCTGAAACCCCTTGCGAACTTAGCCCAACCCTACCACTTTGGCCCAGAACTCCCCCACCACCACCATTTTTTTCTGTGCTGTCAGGAATGGCCCACATATTATTGTTGTATTCCAGTAGGTTTGAAATCAGAAGATCCTTTTAGTAATTTGTTTGCTGTACAATTTGTTTGGAAACTGCTAATTTTGAATAAATAAACCTATGCAGTTGTGGTTGTAGTGCATCTTCATGTTATTGTACCCATTGATAAAGAACTTAAATCAGCTTAAAGCTAGCCAGTTCAAAAAAGAGCACTCATGACTGCACCATGAATATTCAGTACTGTACAATTTTTTTCTCCTGCGGCACCATTTTTCATCTTTTTGTGGGGACATAAAACGATGCAGAACAGGCATAGTGATGTTCCTTAAGACCTAGCATGTATGTTTGGATCTTTAAATTCCCAAACTGCCAAAATGAAAAAAAGCAATCCTTGGACATTCCAATGCTGCCAAGAAAAAATACAAGAAAATATACAAGGAGTGCCTCCAAGATACTTCTGATACAGGGGAAAGAGGGAACCAGTTTATGGAAGAATGAGAAAATACGCAGGCACTGCTGAAACAACCTAGAACTTGATGTTGACCAATTCAGAAAGAAGACTGAGGCTGCATGTGCATGTTCTTTGCAATTTCTCTTAGGCACAATTTGGAAGCCTCCAAGAAAACAAACAAATCAACTCAGAGTTCTCACTTGAGGGAGGAATGACTAACTAGGCTCAAATTATTTTACTTTGGACACATTACACAAAGACCTAGCTGTCTGGAGAAGGCTCTAACACTGGGAAAGGTGGCAGGAAAGAGAAGAGGACAATAGCAGCAAGGTGGGTGGACTACAGTAATGATGAGTACACCACTGGAAAAACTGAAAGACCAAGTTAGGGGCAGATTGTCATGAAGAAAATCTGTGTGGTCGCTAAAAGTCATCCCCAAATCGATGGCACATAATCATAATTTTTTAACGAGTTATGAGCACATAAAGCTCCATAGATTACAAAACGTTAATGGAACAAAGCATCCTTTGCTCTCACTTTCACTCACATACTTAGTCCTCTGCTCACTCACTTGACTCATGCAACCAGAGTTGGCCAAGTGCCTAGTGAAGAGCATGGAGGTCCTCTAGCTGAACAGAGAATCTCTATTGGAATGTTTTGTTTCATGTTTTTTATAGTTTGCCAGTTGTTGGGCTAAATTGCCTTACACAACACTAATTTAAAACCTGTCACTTTAAATGTTTGTCTTTCTAGTCAGCATCCTCATTTTCCAAGATCTGTTTTTCTAACTCCAGGAGTTTCTTTTCCTGTTCCCAGGAGTTTGATATGCCAGTGATAAGATGTGGAGGTGCCTCTCTCACATCCAAATAATTGTTTCTTGAGCTTTCTTTCATTGATATTGTCTCTGTTTTCTTAAATCACACATTTTAAAAAGTCATCCTTTTCAAATCATATTATTCACTATGACTATGCAGTAGGGAATATTATGAATAATTGTTTTGGGCTAATTGAACTTTTTAATATAAAGTTCACTTGGTTACCTTTTGTTTAAACCAGAAAATGATTAATTCAGGAAGAAGATTGAGCATGTTGGGTGAACATAGCCATTTAAAACCATCAATTCATTTAGAAAATTAGAAAAGAAAGAAAAAAGATATAAAGAAGTGGCTTCTAGGAATATTATGAGTAATCTTTAATAAAACTGTACAATGCTAACATTGGTGTTGGTCTCATGCTTAGATTGTTAATGCCACTCTGTCCTGTTGGAAATTAATTAAAAATACAAATTGTGCATTAAATTATGCAAACAAATCCAGACAAGCAGTGTTATTCTCATATATTAATATATACCCAATATATCATATTGTTTATTTCAGCCCAATAAGCACTTTTCTGGGAACTTGTTCTCCCTTGTCTTTGTTGCTAGTACAGTTCCTTCTCCTTTTTCTTATGAAAGTTCATCACTTACATAGTGTCTTTATACTAGTGCTAAGTTTGTAATTTTTCCCAAGTGGAGAATCCTTATATGTTGTGGCATTTTTAAAAAAAGATTTGGAGAGGAAATATCAAAAATTTAAGGTCTTTTGGCAGCCAGAAGCCATTTTGGGAAGAGATATAGGCTTACCTAATTTTTTTAATAAGTCACAACCTGCCAATTCCTCTCCAAAATTGGCACATCACTCCCTTAGAGATTGTGTAGCTCTAGTTAATGCTGTAATTTATGGCCCTCAAGTAGCAATATTTTAAATTTGATTCTTGGAATTTAGAGACTCAGGACAGCTAATGTAATATATTAAGCCCAAGCCATATGCTTTGCCTAATTTGCACTGCACTATAATACTGTCCATGAGCAAGTAGTAGAATGATAAAGCTGCTACTTTGTTGGACAACCAGCAGTGATAATCTGGCCTTCTCTCAGTCTTATGACTTTGTGATCCTTTTTTTTCCCCTTAAAGGTTTTCTTGAGTAGTCAGATTTCAAATAATACTTTTTTTTAATTATCCAGAATATACCAAATGAGAACTTTCGGATGGGTAATAATTGGGACATGCCACAGAATCAGTTTCCACAAAGACCCCCTCCATGGTGGAACCAATGCCATCCAGAGCAAGAGAGGTATGTTACTTTTGCAGATTATATTATTTAGTCACATCTTTTGTTTTCTAGGTAGTTTTGGTAGTGATGGTGGTTTTAAAAAAAAGCATAAAGCAGCAGAATTATTTCTTAAAGTAGCAGAATAAATAACAATAGACCCATAAAGCATAAATAAATAAAAACCACATAACAGTATTTATTTAACAAGCCTGGGCAAATAATTTTTTCACTTGGTACTTAAAACTCATTAGAATAGACATTAAGTAACATACCTGGAAAGAGCACTCCAGAACAGGAGTGCCACCATTGGAGAATCCCAGTCCTTGGTCGCTAAGCCATACAGGCCCGAATATATTAAAACCAGTATTTCAAATAAAGACTGGAAACGCTGGGAGAGCCAGAAAACATACATTGTTTGTTACATAGCAAAATGTTTTCCATATAACCCATGCCTCTTAACCAGTTGAAGTTTCTGAAGTAGCTGCTAAGGACAATCCTGCATACAGTGCATTGCATTTTATTACTGCTTATTAGAGATAGATGTAGCATGCATCATTTCAGCACGACCTTGGCCAAAGGTGAAATAATCTCCAGCCAGGCACTGAAAATAAAAATGAACAGTTTTCAGCTGAGCAACACTGCATAAGCCACAGACAATAGAAGAAGAGGTACCGCATTTACCAGCTTCTCAAATTGGAGCCAAATTAATGCATACAGGATATGGATATAAGATAAGAGGCATTTAACAAGCTTAAAAAGATATCACATCATAGTGGAAGAAGTATATAAGCAATCTATCTTTCAAACCACCTTTAATTTTAAAAAAGTTATCTTGAGCCATACAAAATAGCCACACCTAATAACCAAGTAAAAAATTGAGGCAGGGCCTAAAAAATTGCTATTGCTAATCCACTGTTTGTTTATTTATTTATTTATGGATATTTATGCCCTCAAAATGGTGATTTCTCCTTTCACTTTGCGCTTCCTGCTGGCCCATGCCTATGTCTTTGTTTGTGACTTCACCAGAAGTTGTTTATATCTTGATCTTTCATCACTTATGCCCATTTTGCATGACTTATAAATCATAGAATCCTAGGGTTGGAAGAGCTTTGGAGGTCTTGTAGTCCAGTCCCAACCGTTGTTTGAAAACCTCGAGTGATGGAGTGCCAATGACTCCAGGGGGCAGGCTGTTCCACTGCTTTACCAAATATGGTTTATCTTTTGGTCTTATTTACCCTGATATCGTAAATGCAGAGTAGTAAAGTAGCCTCATGTTTTGGCTCCATTGTTTCCTGTGTAATTAACTGAAGTTATCATAGTTCATGAATATGTTCATTAAAAGGCAAACTTAATATTAAGGGGAATGAATGATATGGTAAATAAAATATAAGTTGCTATAATATGAAAGTCAACCATAATAAGGAATATAGAGAATTTCAAGCAGATGATATCAGAGGATGATTTCAATCTGGTATAAGTACCATTATGTGTCAAGGGAAAAAGCATCCTTTAGTGAGTGTCCCAGGGAAGGATGTTCAGTCAAGGTTTCTTGACTGGCTGTGCTAGCTTTAAATATATTACATTTATCAGGTATAGAAAAGGGTAGGGGCCTAAGATCTGAGCATACAGCAGCATACAAAACGGGAAATAGTGAAAGTTTGGGCACAAATTATGAAAATGGTAAAAGACATTGTAGTTATTTTTAATAACTAATATGATAGGAACTGTGAGCCAATTCAGCGACACTGAGCAGAACCTGTGGTTCAAATGTTTGAATCCATTTCTTGACTATTTTCAACAGAAGTGAAGGCAGGTACTGTGCATTGAAGCCTATGTTTGTTTGTATTTCTGCAGGCCCTACAACATCAGTTTTGATAATTGCATCCGAGGTTCCTACCATAGGCGTCCTTACCGTGGTCCTTCTTACACACGATCTAAAAAGACCTCACAAGGTTGGGTTTGTAAAAGAATGGTGTACAGTCCAAGCAAAAGAGAATGAAAAAGGGAGAAGCCTCCAAATGGTATAGAAGAAAAGCGGCATATGTATAAGTGTAATCATGTAACAAAATATATAGTTTGATTTGCATTTCTCTGTTTCAGTAATATCCTTTGATGAGAATGTTTATTACTCCCACCGTAAAGGATGTATTTTTCTCATGAACTGATTATTAAGCAACTTAGCTAGGCTGATTCATTTTCCTGACTGAAACTTTGAGATACGAACTATGACACTGAACCACAAATCAAGGAATCACATTTTAGCTAGCATGCTATATGTGTAGAAGTCTGTATGATTACATTATGATTCAATGTGTCATGCAAACCCAGAAAATTGAGTTAACTGAGTCAACCATGGCTTATCTAACCATGGATAAGAGTGTAATGAAAATGGAGAAGATCTGCAGCTGATGCCAGAGACGATAAATCAAAACATGAGTCAATCTGCATAGAAGTCCATCTTCCAAATGGGTAGCAGATACAGTTTTAAAACTGGTAGGTGTTAAGCATGTGCTCAAAAGGAGTGTCCTTTTGAGAAAAAAATGGTTTCTTTGAGAAACAAAGAAAAAAATAGTATGATATGTCATTATGACAGAAAACAATTACATACATACATATATATATATGATTTTTTAAAATTCCACTTTTATTACTTTCATAAATAACTCAAGGCAGTGAACATACCTAATACTCCTTCCTCCTATTCTTCCCACAGCAACAACCCTGTGAGGTGAGTTGGGCTGAGAGAGAGTGACTGGCCGAAAGTCACCCAGCAGGCTTTCATGCCTAAAGTGGGACTAGAACTCTCAGTCTCCTGATTTCTAGCTGGGTGCCTTAACCACTAGACCAAACTGGCTCTCCAATTAGATATATACATATCTAATGCAAATATTATGCAAGTGCGTGTATATTTCTAATAACATTTATATGACTATTATGTTTTTTTTTAACCTACTGTATTTTGTATAAATTTCATTATACTCATCCATACAACATCTATGTCTATAGGCAATCTGCTCATAAGTGGCAGGTGCAATCAAGTCTTCAGCCCATTGTGTAAAGGGGGCCATACATTTATCTTTCCAATACTGCAATATTTTAGCCATAATAAGGGCACAGAGAATCCATTTACATTGTCCAGTTGTCAAGTTCCATGTACTAGGTATGTAATTCAAGAGTATATTATCCTTTGAAAAATTTAGCTTTTGTCACGCAATCACATTTATATGGTCCACTACTTTCTTCCAAAACTTAGTAAGTATAGGACATTGTAAAAGCATGTGTTTTAAAGAAGCATTGTCCTTATTACATCTCCAAAAAAATGTTGTCTTAGACCATCCTTTTCTATAGAAATGTAATGGAGTCTAATAAATTCTAAATATTGTTGTGTAAGTTGTAGCTTAAGGTCCATTGACACTCTTGCTATAGAAGTTAAGACACTCTCCCGTTGTCTAAGCAATATAGGAACCTCTAATTCTTTATTCCACTCATCTCTTAGCATCAGGGTAAGGTTTAATGACTTCCATCTATCCGTATCTGAAGAAACCTCTTTATATATTTTGTTCATATTACATTTTAATAACTGAGTTATAACTTTTGGTATGCACATACCCAAATACTGTATTTAATGGATTTGGTACAAATATGGAATTGATATTCCTTAAATAGATGGATAACCAGATTTTCACCTATTGGCATCAACTCCGATTTGGACCAGTTAATAGAATATCCTGCTATTTTACTAAAGTCATCTATCATTTACATCAGCACTGGAATAGTAATGTTTCTCTTTTTTAATATGCAGGAAAAGACCGTGTTTTTTTTTTTTT